TTATTATCAATATCAACATATCAGCCCCTTTAGATGGCTAGCTTGCCAGGTCAGACAGCTAAGTTTATCTTTTTTATTATTCAAGCATAAAAATAAAGTTATATTTTACAGAATAAGAGACTATCTAAAAATAACAGAGTAGTTCAAATAGCAGTTTTTCAAAGGAGGAACCACCATGCTTCATTATATCTCTCTCCCTCTTCCTTCCTCTCTGAAATCAATTTAAATAATTTGATAAAAAGAACCTTAAATACATAGTTTTTCTAAAGCTCATTATAGATGTGAGCATGCAAAGAAACCTACTGAATTTATAGCCCACAAAGTAATTAGCCAGTACTAGAAGAGAAGTGATCCATGGCTACTTTTACATCTCATGAAAGAGCTGCGACTAAGGAGAAAACAGGTATGCTTTTAATAAGTTGCTAAAGACTAATAGTGGGTTGATATGCCATTTTAGAATCCTAGGGAGGAAGAAAATCTGCAACTACCTGCCAACTCTTTTCCACAAGCTTTATTGAGCATTCATGAGAAAAACTGAGAGCAGCACAGGAAAGCTGAGACAGATTTCATATAAGATTCAGGTGTTCAGGGACTGCTGCAGTCTAAGAGCAGGGCAGTGGAACTGGTCACTTCAGGTACTCATGTGGTAGTGGTATGATAGGTCTGCTAAAATATAAAAGCAGCATGTTCTAATTGGTTTGGCTCAGTGGATAGAGCATTGGCCTGTGGAGTCAAGGGTTTCAGGTTTAATTCCAGTCAAGGGCTTCTGTCCCTGCTGTCACTTTTTTTTTTTTTAAATTCTCTCCTGAGGATATTTTTTCCATTGATATACTTAAAGAGACTGGAGGGGGGGGGGGGGCATAGAGAAAAAAAAAAAAAAGATTTGAGAAAGACACATTGACTAGTGATTGGTTTTCTTCCATACCCATCTTGACAAGGCCAGTATTGAGCCTGCAACCAAGGTACCTGTCCTTGTTGTCCAGGAATTGAAACTGTGACCTCTGAATCTGAATACCAAAGTTTTAACTGCTCAGACAAATTAGCCAGAGCTAAAGAATGTATTTTTTAAAAGATTTCTAATTATCCACTTCGATGTTCATGTCTTTATATCATTATCTATCCATCTATCTATCTATCATCTATCTATCATTCTATCATCTATCTATTATTAATCTATTTATCATCTGTCATCTACCTATCTACCTATCTATCCATCTCTCTATCTTTATATCTATCTCTTTAAACATTTTTAAGACACTACTGACTTTAAATTAAAATAACAACAGTGGATTGGGAGATTTACAGCATATGTAGAATTAAATATATAATGAGGGCAAAAAGAATAGGCCTCTGGTAACTTGAGGTATAATTTTGTAAGATTCTTGCTTTGTTTATAAAATAGTAGATTATTTTTAAGGTAGACTTATTACAGAGTTCCCGAACAATCAAACAATGCAGGAAGAGAGTTTGGAGAGACTCACTTTATTCATCTCATGATGGGCTTAGAGAAAAGGATTTCAAATTCTGAGGAAGACTACAAGCAGAACTTCCCTTTATATTAAAGAGCCAGCCCTATGTGCACTTACTGGTTATCTCGATGCTGGCCTTGAAAACAATACAGTGCTATCTAATTAAAAAATGCACCTGGCATGGCATTGAGATTATGGGCATATCTAGTCTCTGGTCTACAAGGTCATATAGCTAAGTTTATCTTCATCATTCTTCAAATAGGCTAAAGCATACTACCTAGAAAGCAACATTTTAGGATGAGGCATCTAAGAGCAGAAAATTCCAAACAGCAGTTTGTTACAAATAGGGATTTTCCTTCTTACCCCCCCAACCCCCTTGTCCCACAAGCTTTTCAGCTTTGTGGCACAATGACCACTGATGTTAGGGGTCTCGAAACTCTTTTACTACTTCCTGCTGGAAAGGGTCTCTGTCTAAAGTGTTAACATCCCATTTCTTCCTCTTGGAGAGGTTTGTAAGAAATTCTTCTGGCTTGTAGGACCATTTGAAGTTTAAAGGCATCTAGACTGGATGAGATAAAGTGAGTTAATAGATTTAGAAGACATGGTCCTAGGGTTATGGCTATCAGTAGAATTAACAGTGGTCCTGTCAAAGGAAAGAGCCATTTCCAGACTCCCCCATTTCAGCCCAGGTCTCAGATAACTGTCTTATTTTTGAAGCTCAATCAGCTAGTTTCTTGGCCTTATCTTCTATAATACCAGACTGGTTAGCATAAAAACAGCATTCTTCCTCAAGGAACAGGCACAGACCCCCTTTATCCACTGTGAGAAGGTCTAGTCCTCTTCAATTCGGAAGAGTAATAGCTGCCAGTGAGTGGTTAAGATTAAGGAAGTTCATTAACAGTGAAAGAATTAGCCTTAGTTTCATCATGTTCCTTTGCTGTTTAAGAAGCAGTAATTTTAGGGTGCCTCTGTGTTCCAGCAAGGGCAGAAAACTGAAATACTGAGAGAGAAACCAATATGGTGGCATAGGTAAATGCCTAACTGCAGCCTCACACAACAATTTCAAAAAATACAACTAAAATACAAATTGGACATTATCCAGAACGACAGGAAAGTTGACTGACTAGAAATTTTACAACTAGAAGGAAAGAGAAAACCAGAAGGAAAATCAGAGAAGCTGTAAAAAATCCTAAGGTACAGAGACACGGTGAGCACACGAGGGGAGAAGACGGAGCCAGAGAGGAGGGGTAGGCTGAGTGCCTGGCTGGCGTTCCCAAGAGGAAAGGAGATAAAAGCTCCGGACTGTGCTGAACCCCAGTTCTGAGCGAGAACCTGGGGACCCAGACACATAAGGAGGGAGTCTGGGCTGTAAGGTGAAAACTCAGGGGAGCGGTGAAAGGCAGAGCCCAATGAGGTGTACACATTGTGTGCAGAGGACAAACTGTTGACTCTACTGCTAGATTGCCCTGGTGGGAAGGAGACAAAAGCTCCGGACTGTGCTGAGCCCCAGTTCTAAGCCAGACCCTGGGGACCCAGGGTCATACAGAGGGAGCCTGGGATGTAAGGCAGAAACTCATGGGAGCTGCAAAAGGAAGTCCCAGAGGTGCACACATTGTACAGAGAATGGACGGTTAACTGTGCCGCTGGATTGCCCTAGTGGGAAGGAGACTAAAGCTCCAGACTACTCTGAACCCCACTTCCCACCCCACTTCCAACTGAACTGAACCCCAGTTCTGGGCTCATTGGGGGAGAGCCTAGACTGTTTGGTAGCAGGTGAAACTCAAGGACATCTTTCTCTCAGAGGTGCTTGCAGCGAGTACTGAAGGACACTGAGGAACACTGAGACTCAGGAACTTCATAGGGTGGGGCTGAGGGAAGCCAAGGCTGTAGGCTCTACCTTCAAACTCCACCCCATCCAAGCTGAACATAGAGACTTTTAAGGCTACCAATTCAGGGAAGGTGCAAAAATGCCGAGACAAGGAAATAGATCACAAACGAAATAAATAGAGGACAAAAAGTGACTGGATATTGAGTTCAAAACCATGCTTATAAGGTTTTTCAAGAATTTCTTAGAAAAGGCAGATAAAATAAACAAGACCTATGAGAAGCTGAAAAGGGATCAACTAGAAATAAAGAATAGATTGTCTGAAATAAAAAATATTATAGAGTCCTAAAAACAGAATGGAAGATCGCAAGAATCAAGTCAAAAGATTTGGAACATAAAGAGCCAGAAGACACTCCTCTGCAGAAGCAAGAAGACAAAAGAATCAAGGAAGTTGAAGATAATGTAAGAAATCTCTGGGACAACTTCAAGCGAACCAACATCAGAATTATGGGGGTCCCAGAAGATGAGAGAGAGAAAGATACTGAAAACATACTGAAAGAAATAGTGACAGAAAACTTCCCCCACCTGGTGAAAGAATTAGACTTACAAGTCCAGGAAGCACACAGAACCCCAAACAAAAGGAATCCAAAGAGGACCACACCAAGACACATCATAATTAAAATTTCAAGAGCAAAAGGCAAAGAAAGAATATTAAAAGCAGCAAGAGCAAAGCAGGTAGTTACCTATAAAAGAGCACCCATACGATTGTCAGCTGATTTCTCAACAGAAACCATGCAGGCCAGATGGGAATGGCAAGAAATATTCAAGGTGATGAATAGCAAGAACCTACAACCAAAAATAATCTACCCAGCAAAGCTATCACTCAGAATCAAAGGGCAGATAAAGAGCTTCACTAATAAAAAAAAGCTAAAGGAGTTCATCACCACCAAACCAGAATTATATGAATTGCTGAAGGGGGTTATTTAGGAAGAGGAAGAAAATAAAGATAAAAATTAAGAACAACAAATACATAACTATCAACAAGTGAATCTAAAAACCAAGGGAATTAAAAAATCTGATGAACAATATTAACTGGTGAATATAATAGAATCAGAGGTATGGAAGGGGAGTGAACTGACAATTCTCAGGGAAAAGAGGAGTGGGGGGTGTGGGAAGAGACTGAACATAAACTGTGTACCTATGGATGAGGACAATGGGGGGTGGGGAAAGGGCAGAGGGTGGGGTGGGAACCTGGTGGAGGGGAGTAATGGAGGGAGGGAAAAATGAGGAACATTTGGTAATAATATGAATACTATGATTTATTAAAAAAAAAAAAAAAAGAAGAAGAAGAAGACCTAAAAAAAAGGGGGGGGGGGGGGGGCAGAAGAGCTCTCCTCCTGGGACTAGAGACGTCTTGGGTGATGGCAGAATTCATAAAAAGACAAAATGAGAATTATTAGAAAGAAAAAAACACACAATAATTATCCAGAGATACCAGAGCATTTCCAATTTAAGAGAAGATAAGAAATATTAGTGCAAGGAAGAATTCATTAGGGCATTTTTGAATCCCTTAGAGCAGGTTGATCAGCCAGGTCTGTTGTTCTCTTGAAGGTGATCCACAGGAGGTGTTTCTGGTCAGAATTCACCTTCCACTCAGGCTGGATGTCACTCAGCTGGTGGGCTGCTTTCACTGGAGATTGGTGAATTTAGTTGTTCAGTTCTGCAACCTTGAGATCTGTGGGAGTGGTTAGTATAACTGGATAGTGTCCCTTCCAAATTGGCTTAAAGGGTTCTTTTTTCCAGTCTTTTACCCAAACCTGGTCTCTAGGTTTAGAAGGATGTGCAGCTGTTTCTAGAGGTATGGGTAGTTGGTCAGTAACCCATCTGTGGATCTCAAAGACAGTTTATCCAAGTCCTTGTAGTTGCTTCTGGATTTCTAAGTTTCCTATTTCCCCCAAATCTCCCTTTGGCCAAATTAAGGGAGGGGGTCTACCATATAGAATTTCAAAGGGAGAGAAACTTACCCTGGCCATTGGGGCACAGTGTACTTGCAGGAGTGCAAGAGGCAAGATATCTGTCCTGGGTAAGGTTGTCTCTTGGCATAGCTTAGCCATAGCCTGCTTTAGAGTCCAGTTCATGCGCCTTCCTTCCCTGAACTCTGAGGCCTGTAAGCTGTATGTAGGTTCCATCTAATTCCTAAAGCCTTAGCTACCTGTTGTACTACTTCTGCTACAAAGGCTAGGCCATTATCAGACACTATGGTCAGAGGCATTCCATACCTCAAAATTATGTCCTTCAGGAATGCCTTAGTGACTTCTCTCACCTTTTCAGTGCTAGTGGAATATGCCTTGACCCAGCCTGAAAAGGTACAAACAAGGACTAGTAGGCATTTATTTTCTCTGCTAGGCCCTACTTCTATAAAGTCTACTTCTAAGTGCTCAAAAGGAGCTTGCCCACAGTGCTGAACTCCTATTGGTCCCACAGGACCCTGTTTGGCATTGTTCTGTGTACAGAGGAGGCATCGCTGAGAAACTGAAGCACACAAGGAGGGAAAATGGGAAATTAGGTAATATCTGCCTAACAAAGCTTCTAGAGCAGTCTTCCCTAAGTGAGTAAGTCCATGCTGCTGGAGGACTACCTTATGTGCTAACTGTCTGGGACATAGATCCTATGATCTGAGAGTATCCACCAACCTTCTTTTGTTCTTTTGCCCCCTTCTTGCTGAGCCCATTCCTCCTCCTGTGGAATGTACTTTGGAGGTTCAGGTAATTCCAGGGCCAACATGATCTGTGCTGGTGCTGTTTGTCCTTTGGCAGCCTGCTCTGCTGTAGCGTCAGCAAGCTGGTTTCCTTCTGATACTGAGTCTTTCCCTTTCTGGTGACCTTTGCAATGAATGACAGCTGTTTCTTTAGGCTCCCAAACTGCTTCTAGTAACTTTAAAATCTCATTTTGATTTTTGATTCCTTTTCCTCCTGCTGTCAAGAGCCCGCTTTCCTTGTAGATAGCCCCATAAATATGCAGGGTAGCAAAGGCATAGCCTGAATCAGTGTAGATGTTGGCACGCTTATCCTTACTGAGTTCCAAGGTTCTGGCGAGGGCCCAAAGTTCTGCCGTCTGCGCTGACCATCCTTCAGGCAGGGCCTGTGCTTCAATTGTCTCAAAGTTTGATACTACTGCATATCCAGCTCGTCTTTTTCCTTCATTTAAGAAGCTGCTGCCATCTGTGAACAATACCAAGTCCGGGTTTGGCAGGAGCCTATCCATTAGATCTGGCCGGCTAGAGTAAACCTCCTGTAGGACTTCCAGGCAATCATGTTCAGGGACCCCCTTAGCAGACCCTGAGACAGGGGGGACATGGAGGCAACATGGGTCAATCTGTTTGGAGAGATAGGCTACTGGTCTTTGCCAATGTCCGAATTCCTGGGTTAGAATTTCTAGGGCTACCCCGTTGTTCTCATGGACGAAGAGATTAGTCCCGTGTCACATCTGGTAACCCAAGTGCTGGGGTCTCAATAAGCTTTGCTTTTATGCTGATGAAGGCTTTCTCCTGTTTGGGGCCCCATACAATGGGTGCTTTCTCTTCCCCCTTTAAAGCTTCATAGAGGGGCTTGGCCAGATCTGAAAACTCCAGGATCCAGATTTGACAGAACCCTGCTGCTCCCAGGAATTCATGAATCTGCCACCAGATGCTAGGACCTGGGATGGCACATACTGCCTGCTTTCTTCCAGTCCCTAGCCTTCATTTCCCTTGGGTGATTCAGAAGCCTAGATACTTGACTTCCTTCTGACAAATCTGTGCTTTTTGCTTGGACACTCTATAATCTGTTTCAGTTACCAATCTCAGGAGGGCTCGTGTCCCTTCCCAGCACTGAGCTCGTGTGGAACTGACTAGTAGGAGGTTGTCTACATACTGGAGTAGAACACATCCCAAATCCTGTCCTGGGAACTTAGATAAATCAGATGCTAGTGCTCCACTAAAGAGAGTAGGGGAGTTTTTAAATCCTTGTGGAAGTCTGGTCCAGGTGAACTGCTCCTTGGCTTCCGTATTTGGGTTTTCCCACTCAAAAACAAAAAGCAGCTGGCTGATGGGGGCTAATCGGAGGCAGAAAAAGGCATCTTTCAGATCTAGGCATGTAAACCATTCCGCTTCTGATGGAATAAGTCCTAGAAGTCTGTAGGAGTTTAGCAATGTCACATGTAAGGTTGTAACAGCCTCATTAACAGCCAGTAAATCCTGTACTGGGCGGTAATCATTAGTCCCAGGCTTTTTGACAGGCAAGAGGGGAGTATTCCATGGTGACTGGCATCTTTTAAGGAGTCCCCACTGAAGTAGCCGGTCTAAGTGGATCTGAATTCCTAGGTGTGCCTCCCTTGGAATTGGATATTGTTGGATTTTGACAGGCTGTGACCCAGGCTTTAAGTCAATTAGTATTGGGGCATGGTCTTTGGCCAGGCCAGGAGGATTTCCTTCTGCCCAGACCAGTGGGAATTCTTCCTCTAATTCAGGCTCTGAAGGTGAGGCCTTTGACTGAGGGTCATAAGATCTCCATTCTTCCTCCCAGGGCACTGCTAAGGATAGGATCATTGGAGAAGTGATCTGATTTCTGCCCCCATTTTGACTAAAAGGTCTCTACCCATCAGAGGTACTGGACAGTCTGGCAAGTATAGGAATTCATGAATTACTTGGTGGCCGCCAAGTTGGCATTTCTGAGGCCAGCAGAATGGTCTAAGGGTCTGTAGCTCCAATAATGGTAATCTCCTTCCCTGAGAGAGGTGCTACTTTCTGTGTGACTACTGAGTGCTCAGCTCCTGAATCAACCATAAAGTCCACAGTCTGGCCCCCAATTTTCATTCTGATCTTGGGCTCATGGGGGCCCAGCTGAAAAGAGCATGGTCTGTCCTAGTCAGAGTCGGCTGCTGCCAGCCCAATAAGGTTTGCTTCAGGTGGCTCTGGTTGATAGCAACTAGGTGGAAAAGGGGACCCTAATTTCTTGCTCTGCCATTTGGGACATTCATTCTTCCAGTGTCCTGTTTTCTTACAATAGGCATACTGGTCCCCTCTCAGACTTGCTCTTCCTTTCCCCACTGATCAGTCGTCTTGCTTTCCTTTTTGGGTTGTTTGGGGGCCCAAACCTCTGAAAGCCACTGCTATCACATTGGTCCTTCTTTGCATTTTCTTTCCTTCCTCCTGTTTTGCTTTCCTGTCTTGGTTGATGAAAACCTTGTTGGTTATCTCCAGAAGTTCACTAGTATTTTTTTCCTGCAAACCCTTCCAGCTTCTGTAATTTTCTCCTTAGCCTGCTGCTGCCTGCCTCTCCTTAGCCTGCTCCTGCCCTGCCTGCCTCTTCATTCCTGCTACTAAAACCTTACTTTGTCCCTTCTTGCACACACCGAACAGGACCCAAGGCGGCAAGGTCTGAGCAATTGCTAACCAGCTGTCTATGTAGGGAAACTGATCTGGGTGCCTAGAATCTCCTGTGACTACATTCCACACCACCCTGACCAATCCTTCCTCTGAAGAGCCTTCCAAGGGCCAGCCAACCCCGAAGGCTGGCCATTCTACTTCACAGAATTTCCTCAATGTTTCAGAATTTATTTTAATTCCATAATCTCCATCAAATCCCTTTTTAAAATTTTTCAACATGCAAATGAGAACAGTGAGTTTACTCTGTCCCGACCTCATTATGATCGGTGGCGCAAGACAGACAAGGGAGGGGGTGACCTGTTTTCACAGATCCTCACTCAGATGCCCGCCTGGCCGCGTCTCTTGGGAGCTTAGATTCGTCTTAGCTAAGGTGCACCCGTATAAACCCCGGGCCTGGTCACCTCCACGTGGGGGTGAGTCACCGTTATGCCATATGAAGAATCGCTGAACCGCAGGTTGGGGCTCACTGGGACTTTGTAACCGAAGTCATGGAGCCACACAAAGGATTAGAGAGGGCAGGCCCTCCCCCTCCACACTCACACACTTTCACCAGACATTCACTCAGAGTTTAAACAACAATCCACCCAATTCCTGATTGATTTGCCTAAGGAAGCCATATGGCCTCCGGGGGGGTGATCAAGCTCCCCCTTCCCCTCATTCAAGTGGGCTGAACTGACAGGGCCCCTACCTTACCGATTCTGTCGACAGGTCCAGAAGTGTCTGTCTGCTCTCTCCAAATGCTGGCCGGGTCCTGGGCTGAGGTCCGGGAGCGCCCAAAGTCCCCCAGTTTAATTCTGCTAAATCAGCAGAGAGGTGCCTTCCAGAGGCCTGTCCAACGCCCCCGGACCCCAAACCCGGCCCAGCCTCCAGAGACTAAAGGCCAAGCACGGGATGATTTTCTGGGCCAATGCACCAAATTATGTTACAGAGTTCAAACAATCAAACAACGCAGGAGGAGAGTTTGGAGAGACTCACTTTATTCATCTCGCGTTGGCCTTGAGAAAATGATTTCAAATTCTAAGCAAGGCTACAAGCAGAAATTCCCTTTATATTAGGGGTGTTGAACTCAATCAGAGAAGGGGCCAAAATCTAAAATCCAGTCTAAATCGAGGGCCGAATGGTTTACTGAACAGTCATAAACTGTCATTGTGATGGAAACGCAGCGGAGTGCAGTGATGACAGCGCGGTGCGGGCCACATTGCAAGGCCTGGCGGGACGGATTTGGCCCGCGGGCCTTGTGTTTGACACATGTGCTTTATATTAAAGAGCCAGCCCTATGTGCACTTAGTGGTTATCTTGATGCTGGCCTTGAAAACAATACAGTTCTATCCAATTAAAAAATGCACTTGGCATGGCATTGAGATTATGGGCATATCTAGTCTCTGGCCTACAAGGTCATACAGCTAAGTTTATCTTCATCATTCTTCAAATAGACTAAAAAGACTAGAAAGCAACATTTTAGAATAAGAGGCATCTAAAAGCAGAAAATTCCAAACAGCAGTTTATTATAAATAGTGGTTTTCCTTCTCAGACTAACAAATTAAAAACGCATAAGAGATCCCTCAAAATAACACAAAGAGATATGACTATATAACTAAAGAGTCAGCAGAGGAAATAAAATGGAACTACAAAAATATCATTTCACTCTAGAGATGGGAGAAGATGAACAAAGTAAGAAAAAGTAGACAGGCAAATAAAAAACAAATATAATTTTAGTAGACTTAAAAACAAATATATCAGTTATTGCATCAAATGTAAATATAATTTGGTTCATCCAGAAAATTTATCCAAGACAAAGTTAGAAGCTCAAAATATCTATGCATGATAACATCTGTGAATAATAAAAAGGAGAATCATTAAGAGTATGTAAGCAGCCGAATCTGGTTTGGCTCAGTGGTAGAGCTTCGGTCTGCGGACGGAAAGGTCCCAGGTTTGATTCCAGTCAAGGGCATGTACATTGGTTGGGGGCACATCCCTGGTAGGAGGTGTGCAAGAGGCAGCTGGTCAATTTTTCTCTCATCAACGTTTCTAGCTCTCTATCTCTCTCCCTTCTCTTCTCTGTAAAATATCAATAAAATATATTTAAAAAAAGATTATGTAAGCAAAACCTCATGTTGCCAATGTAGGTTGAATACTAATAACACTAGGGATAAAAGAAAAATGGATTGTGCAAAAATAACTTCAGGTTGTGAAGTACCATTTTTTTTACATTGTAACAAGTGCACATGCAGAATGACTTCTATAGTTGATAATGCAGACTTTCATCAACTGACCAAGGTAGTGTTTGACAATGAAGGAAGGCATTCCTCTTTCTCCTATACTCTACTTACTTTTCAGCAAGTCACTCTTTGGGGGAGTGAAGCTCTATCTCCTGAGGGACAAACATCCACATAAATTATTTGAAAACTTTAGGTAAAGCAAATTTGTCTCTTTTCCCTCCTTCATTCATTCAATTACATGTTTATCTCACTATGAACTAATCAGAGTATGTTCTATGAGCAAATGTAAATTAAAATAGAAATTAATAACAGAAAGATATTTTTAAAAACCCAAATTGAGGAAGAATTAGTCGAAGCACATAAATGACCAATGAAGTCAATAATAAACGAAAAATTGCAAGGAAAATTAGAAAATATTTACATATGAATAATAGTAAAATCACAAAATATAAAAATTTTGGGGATGCAGTTAAATATCATGAAGATAATTTAAAACTTAATTATGTTTAAAAATTAGAAACATAAAATTTACAAATTGTTCTTCTAACTTACAAACTACAAATATTAAGGAAAGGGTGAAAGACATTAAAACTAAAAATGAACACACAAAAGGGAATATA